CACACACACACACACACACACACACACACACACAAATGTGTGTGTGTGTGTATGTTCCAGCATAACTCTGGAATGCCTTGCGCAATTTCAACCAAACTTGGTACACAGATGACTTACCCTCTGGAGAAAAATACCTGGGGGGGGGGAGTCACCTCTAATACCCCTCGGGATGTGTGTTCTGTTAAGATACAGCCTTTGTGCCATAAAATGGCTTCTACTGTGCAGCGCAGTGGAGTTGCCATGGTAACGGCTTCACAGTACTCCACGGGGGTTCCCTCTGGTAAGGGGGAAAATCCAACATTAGAAATTACGTTTGGTCCTTACATTTCCCCCTATAAATAAATACCTAGGCAACGCCGGGTTATTGGCTAGTAGTCTAATAAATAAATTTAATTAATTGTAAGACACATTGAGTACGAACACTCTAGTGTTGATGAAACACAACAAAAGTAGAGATGGAATTGGTTATTTATCTAGCTCTGTGATATACTGTGATACATGACAGGAGTGGTGATAGAACTGGTTATTTTTCATGTCAACCCATACATTCCGATCGGTTGTGTGAATGATGCTCCTTAGATTGGTGAGTAGATAAGCCCCATAATTTTTGGCCTGCATGATCTTCTGGGAACAGGGGTCCCAACGCATGGTTCTAAAATTGTAAGCTGGAAGTGCAGCCCACGTGATCGTCCCCTTACATTGTGTGGAGCTTGTAGTGGTTGTGATTTCCGATGCGGAGATTCCTAATACTCACTGGTGTTTTTCTTGCTTCTTTTCCTAGGCAATGATCTATAACAAAATCCTGAGGCTTTCCACATCTAATTTGTCCATGGGAGAGATGACATTAGGACAGATCAATAACCTGGTTGCCATAGAAACAAACCAACTTATGTGGTTCTTGTTCCTGTGTCCCAACTTGTGGGCTATGCCCGTTCAGGTAGAGCATCGAAGTAAGGGTCAATTTTTGGGAAAAAGCAACAGATTTCATTTTGATTGAGTGTTTTGGAGAGAGAATATATGACTGAAATGGAAGGATTCCCATTCCTTAAAAAGAGTCCCATCCTCACTGATATAGCAATAGCAATAACACTTAAACTTATATAACGCTTCATAGTGCTTTCCAACCCTGTCTAAACAGTTTACAGAGTCAGTATCTTGCCCCCAACAATCTGGGTCCTCATTTTACCGACCTCGGAAGGATGGAAGGCTGAGTCAACTTTGAGCCTAGTCAGATTCGAACTGCCAAACTGCTGGCAGTTGGTGATCAGCAGAAGTAGCCCTGCAGTACTGCACTCTAACCACAGCGCCACCGCGACTCATGATACGATGGAGAACAGCGAGTTCATTTTTACCTCAGATAGTATGGAAGAAACCAGTGTTTTAAAATCTCGGCAACTTGAAGAGGTCTGGACTTCAACTCCCCAACCAGCTAGTATACTGGGAGTTGAAATCCTCACATCTTAAATTTGCCAAAGTTACACTAACTTTGCAATGTACACCGAGGTTAGGGTATTCAAGTCCCATAATCCTCAATGAACAAACTTTGTTTATGGTTGAAGCTTGCACAATAATACTTACCAGGGTGATGTCATTGGCAACTATAACATGTGTAGTCCCGTGACCCGTCAAAACCACGCTCGACTAAACCACGCCCGATTAAACCGCGTCGCTGACATCATCAACAGGGCAACAACAGCCAGCACGGAGAAAGAAGGGCGCTTTAAATAGCGCTTTGAAAGCAAGCCGATTCAACTTAAGGTAAGGGTTAGGGTTAGGTTTAGGTTTAGGTTTAGGTTTAGGTTTAGGTTTAGGTTTAGGTTTAGGTTTAGGT